CACTTGACAGCCCACTGACAGTGCTGGATTTGTGCACCAATTTATCAGCTCCCGCCTGCAATGCGCAACAACCCATCCCACCCCCAAATCATCGGTGAACGAAACTGCGGGAGCTCCAACCACTGCATGATGAGTACGCGGTTATTACAGCTGACAACGATGTGCAACTCTGTATCGGTCCCTTGGCTTCCTGCTCCGCCCACTGTGGTATATCAAAAGGCACGGTAGCCCTAGACAGCCCTTTATGGAGACAAGAGTAAATTATTACAACCGTATTCATAGGGTAAGCACAGAGTGTTCCAAAAGGTCGTGCCAGGATCTCCGTGAGGGGCGAGGAGCGTCAAAGTTGCTCAACTCGGATTGGCTGGCATTCTGGCCAATCAGGGCATGCCTTCGTTTGGTCCGTGTCCTGCACGTGACACGTCCGTCCAAATTATTTAATGTTCGGTTATTAGGGCCGCTGGCCTCCGAACACACTGTGAAGAAAATGACCCGAAAAATGCGGGCAACTTGAAGAGCTTTGGGGTTGAGTTTATCACACATGTGGGGAAGTTCAAAAAAGGGTGTGATAAACAGACGGCTACTGATTCAAACAGTCATCTGAATACAAAATGGATTTATATGAATGATTGTTGGTCCAAGCAGAGGACCTGGCTGTCATAGGCTTGACGGACGCTTCCACTTAGATGTGATCGAATACGGACAGCTCAGCGTTTCCGTTCTTGGTGGCTTGCAGAGTTTAGCAGCTACGGGACAATTAAGAAGCATCTTTGTACCAGCCGCCTGGAAGTGTCACAAAGAACAGTTTCAGAGAGGCCAGTATTTCTCGTTCCCCCGTACACCGGTGATGGCATTCTATATTTTATAAAAAGGACACCAGATGTGGCACCGAGGACAATGTACGAGGCTATACAAATGGGGATCTTAGCCTTTTTCTCCCGTCAGATCGCCAAGGCTAGTACTCTCCAACAACCACGGTGCCTACCGACCCCCTGCAGATGTTAAGGCAGAACTATCCGCAAGTTTGTGACGCGATCAACTGACTGCTTACACCTACGTTAACCCCGCTATAGTATCCGAGTTTGAGATTGAGAACTGTCCAAGGTTATATCCACTGTTAACATCATGTTCTTGCCGTGAGACACATTTGAAATAGAGGCACGACCGGTCTCACGTGACCAATTTCCAACAGACTCAACTGAGTCACGTTTATGTTTGCAGGATAGCTTGAGTTTAGTTTTGAAACTGTTACAGTTTCCCTGATGGATGTCGTATTATATAAGAAATACTGAGTTTCATAATCGATGAATCCAGTCCTGCTGCCTGACACATCAGTGTTGAAAGCGCGCACAGTGAGATCTTTTCTCAAGGACTGTCATCCAGAACCGCTTATGTGGTTGTCGAAAACTTTGCCCATATTGAGTGTAGCCTCCATCAACTGTGGACAGCCTACTGGTGACTTTGTCCATTTTTCGCGCAGGCAAGGAAGAAGTACTCACCCAAGTGCGCACTGATGATGTCTCCTCGCGTGGTGACGAAACGTTTGCAAGCCAATTGCCAAGCTCGGCGAACAGATCAACAGCCATCTGATCAACAACCAATAAACTCACTCGAGCTACCAATATTTCATCACATTACCCTCACAGACATATTTCTTTGTTTCTCGTTTCGATCGCTTTATTTTACCCCGTATTTATTCAAAAGTTCAGGTGTTTTGAACTGTGTAACTTGAATAGAAAACTTCCTCAAGCCCCATGTTTACCAATGATTATGGTTTCATTGACTAAATGGGAATTTTCGGCATCCCACATCAAAATGTGTTCAGCAAGACGATGTTTTCCACTACGAATGTTTGGTTGCTAACCTGTCTCTGAAACACAGAGGCCTCTCATTTCTAACTACCCACACGCAAAATACGTACGCACTGGAGGTATGAACAACTTCCTTACCTAGGTAACTGTATGACCGCTAGGTATTTATAGGTGCATGAAAACATGTTTGAATGTAGAGCATTTTCGGTTATTTTTGCCTAAGATCTCGTCCGCAATCAGACGTGGCAACACTATGAATGTGCAGATGACATGCAGTCACTTCGATCACCACCTGTTGAGTAGGACAGGTGAACGCACTCAGGCGCGTGTTTGTCTCAGGCAGTCATTGTACCCAGCGGCCAAACGATCGTAGCCAGGACGAGAAAGTTCATACATTTGACGGGTGAATTTTGAGTGATGCACGTCATCTTTTTTCAAGTTTGGAGGCAATCGGAAATGAACAAGAGAGCGGAGAAACAGAGCACCGCATCACCATACTTCCTCATCAAACGTTCCCTTAGCAAACCGAGTTCTGTTTGTAATCAAGAGTGACCGCCTAGCTGTGTAGATCGCATGACCCACCTGTCGGGTGTCGGGCCACCTTGAGGCTAACTGAGTGAAATGTTCCGCGACAGGTGGATTGACGCCACAAATCGGCAGCACTGGAACTAACCAAAACTAGCAAACCTCAAGCATGTGGTGACCAAGCAGGTCTGAGCAACCTATCAGTTATCCGGAACTTGAATCCCAAAGAAAACTGGGATGTACATTGCTTTTGAGCTCCGATATAGCCAAAACCGAGTGAAAAAAGGGACCTTGGTTTCCACGCTAACAATGTCATTCATAGTTTCCTGTGGTTTTCTCGCTAATAGGAACGAAGAAGTTCCTAAACTGCTCTGAGATTCTATAAACCAAGCATTTCGTTTATTCCATCCTACGAATATTTTATTCACGCAAAACTTTTAGTGAAACAGAAGGCCAATAGTTTGTTCGTTTCGGTTGTTGACTGTTCCATATTGCCTGGATGAAAGAAATTATGATTCATTGCGATTATATTTAACAGTAAACCGCAGCAACGAGTCTGTACATTGGATGCTCTCAACCAGACAAAGTAGTTTCGCGTTCTCTGCTAAACACAGCCACACCCCCTGGGTGCAATCCTATCAATCAGTAACATTGAAATGGAACAGGATGCGAGTGGAATAGTTCTTTGTCCGCAAGGATCTCTCCTTCTAGAATCTCAGTCAAATTACTACAAAAACTCTCGTCCTTTGAGGATTGCTTAGCCAGCCGGTCAGGTGTTTTTGAATGGCCACAAATGCCCAAGTGTAGACCAGCCTATGGTATGAATAATCGATATCCAGGTCACGTGATGTGGATGACTGCTTATCACTTGAAGCTATCGGGGCTTCCGTACGGGAAAACGCAGAACGCAGGTCCGAAACACAAATCAGATGTGAGTGATACGCTACCAGAAAAAAAAACACACTTCAGCACTTAAACATAGAATTTTTGAAACAGGAGTTTATTGTCGTGATCACGTGCTAAAAAGGAAAAAAAGTAACAGGGTGCCGCCTAAGGGCCTCGTGGTTGCGCGCTGGTCTTCATCGTGCCACAAAGCCGGGACGGTGTTTAAACAGAATAGGCAGCTGAACTTGTCTGATCGTGTCACAACGACTGCAGTGCCTGTTAAAGCAAGTTCTTCGGAATAGATCACATGATCCATATCTTTGATATCTGCGCTCACATTGAAAGTTTCAAAATGAAACTCCTTTTATTGTCAGATGAAACTGCAAAACTGTTAGAAGGTTCACGTGCATAAACGTAACGGAGAACGAGTGTTCTCGATCGCTCAGTTGGCAGGACATCCATCCTTCAGGCGAAAGGTTGGTGGTTCGAATCCCTCATCAGGGTTGGAACTTCTATTCATCTTATGTGCAATGAGACCTCCAGAGCTCAATTTAACAGTGAAAAATTTGGTTTCTATGACCCGCTGTTAAATTGAATATTGATGGACAATACTGGGAAGACTGTTCTGCACACATTATGAAGACTGATAAGTTAAGCAAGAATCTGCAGCCAGGTAACCAAAGTTTACGTGAGTGCGTTTATATATCACCTTGGCAACTACACGCAAATTATCAATTGAATTAAACAATATGCAAATTTTCAAAAATTTTGTGCTGCTTGAGGACTCACAAAAAACGAATTCTCACATCGCTGTCTCTGGGTGCGTTGAACCTTTGGCTAAGCTCCGGCCGATCGATCTTCACTGCATCTCGGGAATGAACCTTTTGAATTTTGCCCATTACTCCGTTTATTTTTGCGTCAGACAGTTTGAATGAGACTAAAGGTCGGAATCAAACAAAACTTGGTGGCTGAGCCATCCACCGCCCCACAAACGTTTCCACGTATGTGCACTTCAGTAGTTGAGTCACTTGGGAGTGCTTCCGACCTGTCGGTGATGTACCGTGTTACAAAGGTTTTGTCAGAACACTTTAAGTAAATCCCTTTGGCGCGGGTCTCGAAACGTATCATGTAACGTTCAGCTCTCACCGGAGACATACGATAGTCTTTGGAGTGGGTAGGTCGTACCTGAACAGAACATGGCCACAAGGAAAACAGGGATCCAGATAACTCACTGATGTGTAAGGCAAAAAAATCTCTCAGCTGTAACTCCCTTCCGGTGCCTAGCTGCTACCCGAAAGAAGCACGAGGGCTGGGGTCCTGCCAGGTTGCCCAAGCCTAGATAGGGGAAGTCGAGAGACAGAGGTCAGGTTCGAACCACAGACCTTCAGGTCAGTAAATTCGCGCTGTAACCACTTGAGCCATCTCGCCCCGGTGTGTAAGGCACCTACGTGACACCTCCAAAATAACTTGTCTCGACGTCTTAACATCTCCTACACATGAGGAAGACAGCGATACTGTTCGCCAAAAACGATCGACTTCATTCATTCCACAGCGCGTGAATTCATTTACATACGTATAACACAAATAAATGTTGAGTAATGACAGGAGGGATTCCCTACGCCCTGACTAAGGTGGGATTGGTTGACACGGTGTCAGGACAACGCCTTACTCAGTGCCGAATTCCAACAGAAATGCGATAACTTCTCCAGGTGTTAGTCTTTTCAGCAGAAAACTCAGTAAAACTCAGTGCACCTTATCACACGGACTTCATCAGTTTGAATGTCTGGAATAGAGGTCAGTTGCACTGGTTTTGCTTGCAATTAGAACAGATCAATATCTTCTAGTGAGCTCGCTTACATACTCTCCCGTCCACCAACCCGTGTTCAGGTGGGATTTTGTAGCAAGTTAATGAGAGTTATCGACTGTCACGGATACAATGGCAAGCGCTGCGTAAGTGCTGTACATAAGTGTTGTTGGCGTTGTAAAAACCGGGTGAGCTTTTAGCGAGAGGACAGACCGTACTGATCACAGTTTGCTGAAAGAAGCGTAGAACATCCTCCGGTTGGGTTGATAAAAGACTAAAGGTGGAAGACGTGTGATAGAACACAAAACTGGAAAGATTCTGCTTTAGTGGTTAGCTTAAAACTGAAGGGACTAAAGCGACTGTACCGACTACAATTTCATGAGGGTTGTTAGTTGGGGGTGGATGAATAAAAATGTTAGTCACAGTGACGGTTTGCAGGACTTACGTCGATATCCTAAAGTGGCCAATGAGATGCACGCGGGCTTATCGCTTAATCATGTGTCCTCATTGCACTATCAATCAATACTTTCTATTGATTACTCCATCCTGATTTTAGTTGAGTGATATCTGTTCACCAGTTGAACTTCTTGAGCTCCCGCAGCGTCCAAATAGTGGGCTATTGTATAGTAACGGTAGCAACTCTATAAGAAACGATGGTTATGACAGACACACTTAAGTGACACGTGTATCAATTTCGCTTGAAAATTCCTCATCGTGTCCTGTTGCAATCAACCAAGTGAGTCCACACCAAAAGGGAAGGCAGTGGACTCGAGTTTTGCCCTTAATGGACCGGGTGTGGAACTCAGGACATACGAGCACGTCCAAAATGCGCTTGGCGCGCTTGAATTGTCATATGTAAACAGACGAACGTTCACAATGCGATTGGTTTGCTCGATGCCTTGAAAGATGATCCAGTAACGGTCCTGGTTGTCTCGATCGACTGATCCGCTTTTCGGAACTTTTCAGTCCTGGATGGGGACCCCGAAACGGGCCACATCAATGGCTAGAGACTCGTGCCCTTAGTGGCGCTTGTGCATTCAAGCTATTGCCTTCAGAGCATAGTCCGCTTCTCGGTCCCCTTATTTAAAAGATCACTGACGGATTTGCTCATCAATTTGTCGGCTCCTGCATCCGACGCGTAGTCACACATCATCGGTGAAGGAAACTGTGGCAGCTACAACTACTGTCCGACAAGTATGCGGTTCTTATAGTTGACTGAGGAATATGAGGAGGATGACGATGATGGTGATGATGATGATGATGACAACGACGATCATGATGATGATGACGATGATGATGGTGTTGATGATAATGATGACGATGATGATGATGATAATGATGATGATGATGCAGTCACTCAGCGCGGCGGGTGCCCGAAGCCTCTTGGATGTGAAAATAAAGGTGTAGAAAGCATGCGGTGCTGGTGTAGTGGTAACACGCTCTCCTCACATTTTAAATATTCGAAGTTGAAACTTTTACACGATCAGGAATATGTACTGCTGATTAGCTCTAATAAGACTGAAATTCGGGTACCATTCTCGTTATCTTGTGGGTGGATTCTGCAGAACCGTAGCGCCGGGCAAGACAAGGACTGTTCAAACGAGAGTGAGTACGGATACTTAGTTCATTCATACTATAAGGGATAGACTGGCTATTTATTGTGGTCACTCAAGCATGAAATCAATAGACAGGTTCAAAATTGCGATGCGCATCGTAGTGTGCATGATGTGAACTCGCCTTTATTCGAATGCCACACTTGGAGTGGGTGCTCGACGTGTTCTCGCGTTCCCCTGCACACTGGAATATCAGACTTCGTTGCGGTTGCTGTTCTGTTCATTTATCTGGGAAATCTGGTGTCAAACGGCCGGTCACCAACCGGGGGGTGGGGGGCTTTGTGAGTTAGCGGTGCGTCGAAGTGCGCCCATGTGTAGACCTTGAGCAGTGCAGTACCCATACCTGATATATCGTGTTGACGCTGAGTTTAGCCTCTGAGTAGATGGATGGTTGTCCGGATACCGACCAGAGACTTAGCAACCATCAAACAAAAGGGCACCGGTCTTAAGCAGAAGCAATCCCGCACACCGGCAAGAATCATTAGGGGTAAGATCGACGCCCTGCTCAACGCCTACACACCGACTCACTAAAAGGATTAACCAACTCACTAAACACTGATGCTGTCATCTGGATTCGTGACAAAACGCCTGCAACCAAAGTGCCTAGTTCAGCTTGGCTAATGTGAATGGAACTGCCAACTCTCCCAGCAATCTGCTAACTTCCTTTGAAGTAACGCCAAACACCGCATGATTATAAATCCTACTTCCTCAAACGGAACGGAGAACCCAATTGCGTTTCGTTTGTCGTCAGTCCACTAGCTTCCAAATGTAGACGGACTATTTCGAGATTGTCAATGACGAAACTATATGAAATTTTCTCATCTCGTAATCTGTTATTCCGATGACAGTGAGACTAGGCAAAGCGCGAAGCTGATGGTATGTGTGTGTGTGTGTGTGTGTGTGTGTGTGTACAGACGCGTCTAGTTGTGAATGGATGAACTGTCATGAAAACTGTTTTCCTCCAATGTGTTTGTCCCCTTTTCCTAATCTGGACGCGCATACATCATTGTCATGCGAGTTGTGTCTTACCACGACGACAAAAAGAAAACAAATCGTTCAGCTGTAACACCCTTCTCCGGCGCCTAGCTGTCATGCTACTCGAAGGAAGCACGAGGGCTGGGATACTGTCAGGTTGCCCAAGCCTAGACAGGGGAAGTCAAGAGGTAGATGTCAGGTTCGAACCACGGACCTTCCGGTCTGATGAATCCTAAGCACTTCCCGTGCTTCGTTGTTGTCGACGTCACTGGCAAGTTATTGACCGGGCTTTCCCACGAATAACTAACTAGTGATGTGTAAAAATTGCCCGCCCTCATCGACTGAAAGCGATCACTAACCTAGTGGATTTTTTCCATGTGTAAACGATCAGCTATGGAGATTCTAAAAAGAAATCCCCTGCAGTGCCGGAAAAAAGACTCATCGACAAGACTCATCGACAGCTTTATTGCGAATAAGCGGGTGCGAGAACAAGCGTAAGTGCGGAAAGACAACGGCCTCTAGCTACCTTATTGGAGGGGCACGGTCTGACCTTGGTCCAACGCTGTCCCGCACTGTCTGGCTTTGATACAAGGCTGTCAGTCGCTGCGTATTGAGGGGGCGTTGTCCTTCTGGTCGGCATCTAGCGGAGTTGAGGGTCTAGATAGATTGCGGGCATTCAGTGGTTGCTTTCAGGAATCTGACCTTCCTGCTAGTTTTACGTACCTCGGAAGCTGCATTAGTTCCGACTGTAGTGCGACAGATGAGATCAGTGCACGAGTGTGCAAGGCTCAGGTCGCGTTCTCGTCTTCGAAGAGGAGGAAAAGGCGCAATAGTTCTTGGACGAACTGACCAAAGGCATCCCGTCCTTTGGTATGCACTTTGCAACCACAAGGTGTAAGGTCATGTTCTTGGACATGCAGCCACTGAACACGCCACTTAATGGTACTGGAAGTTGTGGAGGTTTTTACGTATCTTGGAAGTTGTATTAGTTATGGTTATAGTGTGACGGATAAGGTCAATTCACGAACCTGCAAGGCTGAGGTCGCGCTTGCTAATTTGAGACACGTATGGCGTCAAAGCGGTGTATCCCTGAATCTCAAGGAACAGGTATATCAGCCTACGGTGTGGGCTGTTCTGTTGTATGTCTTTGATACTTGGCCTGTTCGAGCAGTGGAACTGAGACGTCCTCATGTCTTTGACAATCGTTGTCTCATGTTATGTATGTATGTCTTTCAGTGACACACTTTGAAAAACTCAGGGCCTGGTTCTAGTCTCTAAGCCCCAACTGAGTACGTACAACTTTTCCAGCTGATCCAACGAGTCATGGACATAATCGGTTCCTTCCAAATTACCGTTTAATTCTTCGGCAACGAACGAGTCCAATCAATCAATGCAGACCTTACGGCTCAACGTCGGGATTCTGAACCGATTCTCGACGTGCTAATTAGGAGATTTCGGGTAAGAACTCTCAACTAAGGGGGCGCTTATTAATGAAACGGAAAACACATGAATAGAATCAAGCGGTTTCTTTGGGAAAAAGCGTGCTCAACTGTACATTAGCCTGAAGTTGAAAAAAAAGTAAAACAAAAGAATATGTTACCGAAACGGATGGGCAGTAGTTCCCAAATGGTTACAAGGCTATTTGTGATGTCGGAATTTTGACAGCGAGTGTGCCTGCGCGACTCTCTGAATCTATGTGTTCAATGGAGCAAGGGTAATTGTAAACTTCTTTTAAAGTCCCGAAAATTGGTGCAGACGAAATAAACGGTTGATTGGAATGACTTCTAGTTCACTCCGATGTTCCGCCTCAGTGAAAGTTTGACTTCCCCTTGCTATGCTTCATTTCACAAGAAGCAGAGACACAATGTCAAACGAATTGTTAAGAAACACCAAACAGTTGGTTGTTGACCAAAACAATTTACCTAGGGGGAAACAGCTCATCCGTTTGGATGCGTAATTCATCCTAACTTGTAGTGGTGATCAAACACCTTGATTGTACTACTTGCAAGTAGTTGCGAGATTTGAAATTTGAGCGAACCCTTTCTCGTCTTAGCGATCATTTTGGACCAAGGAGTTAAGTGAACATCTGGATTACGAGGTAAGCGTGATAAAACCAGTCCGACAGACCAAGCAACGCCCGAATGAATTGTCATACTTGGGCAGATGATTGCGTAACACACCTGAAGTCTCCTCGTATTTCCAATGTTCAGAGTTCACATTCCAACGTATGATGAGCTCTACCAGGAGCGGATCTCAAGCTTCCCCCAACTCAGCTGAGTGTAGGAAGACACAGGGGCAGACTGTGTGATCGTAAATGACGTGGAAGTAGGCACCGTGAGTCCTTCTGCAAGAATGCAGGGGAGTTTGTGAAAAATGTTCTATCTGTATCCATGAGAACGAAGTAGGTAGCGAAAAAAGCCTGTTTTCTGTGATCTTCCCTCTTGGCTAAGACATCACAAATTTATATGGTACCAGAAATCACGTGAAAAAGGTTTAAACCGGAGGCACATACACTTTAGAGAAATAGAGATCAAAGGAAGGCGGGTTGAATGAGGGGTAGGTCAATCGGTCACGGAATCAGGTAAGTGACGTCAATGTCAGACAGACTTGCAGGACCGGATGTTTCGTAGGCCATTTCAAGTTCATAGGTCGCACAAGTTTCTTTTGGATGCAAAGTTGTGGGTCCAGCAGTCGGATTCCTATCGCCTCTGCGATCGATAGTAGTCTGGATCGTACCAGTCGTGGTCCGTTCAGAGGTACCCGGTATATGATGGTGAAGGCTTGCTCCCTGTCTATGATATGACAGGTTTCGGCCAAGTGTGTTGCAATTGCGCTTGAGCCTGGTTTCTTCCCACTACCACTCAGAGATACGGGATTGTGTTCTCACATTCTGTCCGACAAATGCCTTGTCGTACGACGAACGTATGACGCTCGGCACGAGCATACAAATGAGTACACGGAAAAGCTGGTGGTAGAACGTGGCAATTTGTCCTTCAAGCAGAACTTGATGGTGGGGCTGGAGTTGAAGCTCAGACATAGATTAGGGGCCAATTATATCGTATCAAGATAGCTTCTAAGCCTTCTGATGATTAGTTCAGCAACCGAGTAACCTTTGAATGGAAGTCTCATGTATACGGGCTTCTTCCCAACAGAACATTGTGTAGGTTTGGGCTTAACGGGTTCCATGGTCTTAAGTACGAACCCTTCCGGATAGTAGTTCTGCAGGAATGTGCGTAACAAGAACTTTAGTTCTTCATCTAAGCAGTCGGGGGAGCATATCTTCATTGCTCACTCAGGCAGGTATCTAATTAGGTTATGCTTTTGTCGCAACGGAACAAACCTATTAAAGTGAATATAATGATATTTCCACGTTTACTTTCTGTGAACCTTGCGTTCTATGGTCTGGTCAGTCTTCTTTTCAAAATTGCCACTGTTTCTCAGAGTTTTTGGTTGTCAGATGAACTCCCAGCCTGGTGTAATTAAAGAAACCCAGCTCATCTTTACTCATGAGTAGTGTTGTAAACAGGAGGAGAGAAAAGGTATTCGACATGTGGGGGAAACCTGCGACACGTTATCCACTTAATATATACGGTAACCTTGTCAGATACGAACCTGTTGGTAAGACACCATCCTACGGTGTTTAATTTATTGTAGCCAGTCAGATTCCGTGTGGGCGTGATAACAATATACAGTTAGTTATTCAAAAAAACATGTAAAACTCTACCCACTCCATTGAATTTCCTTAGTATGGCAAGATAACAAAGCCCGAAGGACACTTTCGTGAAGTCTGCCTGTCTATGATAATCAACAGTGAACAGCTGTTTTGTCCTGAGTGGGATTCACTCAGTCAGCCACTCGTGGCCGCATAGCTCAGTGTTCAAGCTGACAGCCAGACGTTTAAGAGGTTCGAAACACCTTGGAGTCCCGTGAGATGCTGTTACATCTGACTGATGTCCTCAGTCCAGTGCCTGGTACCGGAGAAAAGATTCACCGACAAGGAAAACAACAGTTTTATCG